AAAATAGCTCTCCCTCCGAATCATCCCGACTTGGCTTCTTCCTACAATAACATCGGCAGTGTGTATGGTCAGATGGGCGAGGACTCAAAAGCACTTTCAACGTTCGAACGATCACTTGAAATCCAGAAAATAGCTCTCCCTCCGAATCATCCCGACTTGGGTTCCTCCTACATCAACATGGGTATAGTGTACAAAAAAATGGGCGAGTACTCAAAAGCACTTTCATCGTATGAACGATCACTTGAAATCAATAAAATAGCTCTCCCTCCGAATCATCCCGACTTGGCTGCTTCCTACAACAACATCGGGTCGGTGTATTATAACATGAGCGAGTACTCGAAAGCACTTTCATATTGCGAGAAAGCTCAAGAAATCTGGAAAAAATCACTACCTCCCACACATCCACGTATTGATCTGGTGAAAAGCAACATTGAAATTGTAAAAAAGAAAATGTAATTTTTTTGCTTTCGTCATTGAATAAGAAAATAAACTGACCATCTTGAAATGTAAGCTCGCCGAAGCAAGCAGCTGCAAAATATCGCGCACGCGCGACCAGAGATACCATCCGTACTGTGCTGGGTCGTACAGTAGACAAAGCCGGCAACGTTTAGGCAAACATACATCGATGTATGTGTGATTAGTACGACCATGATCATCATCTTCGAAAAGACGATGACGAAATCGACGCTTCTATACATACATAGATGTATGCTATGAAGGCCTACCATCTGCACGCCTGCACAGGTGACCAACAGAACGTTGGATATCCGTGGGAAGGTTCATTTATTTTAGAGCCACCCTCAAAAGCTCCATTAGTTAGAAAATTATTTTTATTCTTCTGTTACGAAGAACGAGAAGAAGTAGAAACGGAAGAAAGAAAAGGTATGAAGACGGAAAGACGGGATAAAAAACGACGTCGACGTTATGGAATGATACTACGCAGCACATGCTAACAACCGGTGTTTGTCAAGCAATGGAATATTGAGTGCACGATATATTTGTCGTTTTTAAGCATTTCATATTCAATTCGTTTGTGTTTCATCTCGAATGTGTATAGATAACTTGAATGTCGAGCACTCACCATTCTAGCAAACGAATGATGATTGAATGAAACGGCGGATAAAAACAATACATTCGCCGTTAATTTGAGTAATAACTCATGCATTGCATATCTTAAAATAGAGATAAAGAATAGAAAAAAAGCAAAGTTTTAAGTATATATTTTTTTACACTTTATTAAGATACGTGATGGTTACGTTAACATTGATGCTCAAAAACAAC